AACTGCAGAAAAAACAAGGAACGCAGTCATTTAAGAGAAAGCGGAGCCGGGAAACAAAACTAATGAGCACTGCAGAGCAGTTTTTGGAGCCGACAAAGAAGAAACAGCTCAAGAGTCCCAACGTGGAGGACGGGATGCATGGTGAGCTCACTTTTACTGTCAGACATGAGGACAATGCAAGAGCATCTGGATCGCTCCCAAACACGTGCCCTGAAAGCACAAACACCTTTGAAGGGATTTTTTGCGACACAATGCCCCAAGTTCAAAAATCACCCGCGTCAAACAACCAAGCCAGTCCAGACCTCACGGTGAGCCCAGCGAAGAAACACACTCAGGGATGGCAGGCCGGTGGGAAGAGGGGACGCTCGGGAGAAAACGCAGGGACGGCAATGGAGCAACTGGAGCAGAGTCCCACAAAAAAAAGCAGGAAAGCCAAAAGAAGCTAGGTTTGAAAGAAAAATAAACGAGTAAGAGAAAAATGATGTTCATTTGTGACAAACCCCTCAGGACACTTAACGTCCATTTCCTGCTGCAGTTTGATCTGTTACAGGCGCTTTAGGCGGGAAAACAAACAAGGTTTTGTAAATGAATTCACAGTTTATTTGTCAAATGTAAACACGGTTCATTCACACAGAATAAATCTTCCAGAGTATACTTTGTTTTTGCACATGCATTTATCATTATTACTATCATCATCATCATCATCATCATCCCTTTAACCACACAAAAGTTACTAAAACACAGTGGAAAGGTTATAAATACAAATGACAGTGACTGTACACGATGAGGATGAAAAAAAAAACAGGAGCTGTCCTCACACCTCAGAGGGCCACAGCAGCATCACTCAGACTAACTTTAAGCCTCAGAGGTTCTTTTTTTGGCTTTTCTGTGTCGGTGCAGACTAATAGGATATGTAACACTTTTTGAAACATAACAGCTGGAAAAAAAAAGACTTAAAAGCTGCCATCGTGCACTCTGGGGAAACACAAAGAAGGTCCAATTACAGAGAGGAGATCATCATTCGGACTTCTTGTCCTCATTAACGGAGCTGTTCAGGAGGCTTCTGTTGTTGTTCACAGACGTCCCGTTGGCGGATGGCGATTTCTTGGGCTGCAGGATCTCCTTCGTCACTTTCTGATATATCGGGTGGGTTGTCAACACGAGCAGCAAGCTCTCTGTGGAAATGTGAAGACATTTTAGCTGCTCCCATCCCCCTTAGTTTAGTTTAACACAGCATAAGGCACCACAGCTCAGTGAAGACCAAGCTCAGGTTAAACACATGTATCCTCTAGGTTTGATGATTATTTTTTCTGATAGAAATTTGTAATATAAAATATAAAGTTACTAATAAACTAGACAAAACTGGCTTTTCAGCCGGCTGATGCAGAGGCCCAGATCCCCAGGCTCGGGGAGCAAAGAGGTTATTTTAATCACTGTCAACAGTAAATAAGTACAAAAAACCTGAGCTGAGTAAAAGAGCTGTCACATTAAACTGAGGACTTTATCAAAGAAGCCCACAAACATGGTCCTGCAGACTAACGATGTGTTTATGCTCCTGTGTTAATGCAGATAGTTTATTATTTACAGACGTAACTCTCTGCTGGTGGATGTGATGGCCCTCGTGGGTTCTTAATCCTTTGAGTTATC